GTAGATACACTCCTTGGAGAGAACAATCATGGGAGAAAGAAGGGCTGCTTATGCACAAGGAGACAGCTCAGGGGTCAGGAGTGCATGGAGGGATGGACACAGGGAAGAGGTAACAATGGGGAGGAATTGGGAGGGGAGCTGTTGCATTGTGGTAAACTGTGGTTAAGGTCATGAGACAAAGTATGTGTGAACCGATGTATGGAAAGTGAATTTGCTCTGTAAATCTTCACCCAAATCACAATTAAAAAAGGAAAATCAAGATAACTTGCTAAGCTTTGAATTTCAAATCACATCCTATCTTAGTATCTTTAGTCTTACCCTCATTACTTTCTAACTCAGTAGTAGCAATATTAGTTTATTATTGAGTCATAAACTTTCTTAAAGTTTGCATCAGATGGTGGACTGTTTTCAACATTTCCATCCTTGACTTAAAAGTTTAGCAATTGAGGATAAACTAATGATTCAGGAGGTAAGTATAATAATAATCTGAGTTAAAGAGAATTATTAAATTCACTTTGGTAATTTTGGTAATACAAGATGAAGACTGAAGAATTGATGCATTTGAATTATTATATTGGTGATGAATATTGACTATACTGTGAACTGCCAAAAGAACAAACAAATCTGTCTTGGAAGAAGTACAGTCAGAAATTTCTAAATTGGCTATGTTGTTGTTGGTATATGCCCTTGAGTCGGCCCCGACTCAGCGACTCTTCCTTGGGTTTCCGAGGCGGTATCACTACAGAAGTAGATTGCCCAACCTTCCTTCCAAGGAGTGGCTGGCGGGTTTGAACTGCCAGCCTTATGGTTAGCAGTCAAGCGCCTTAGGCATTATGTTACCAGAGCTCCTAAATTGGCTATAGGTAATTCTAAAAAAGTATATAGCAACATGTCTAGTTAGTTTATTCTATTTTTACTGTAAACAATAGGATCTGTAATTATAAAATATATTGTAGGAGCACAGCACATGAACAGAGTATATTTAATACTTTTAAAAGGAAAGAATTTACATTTTAAAAAGCATAAATTGTGATCATAATAATAATGGTAAATGTATATATTACCACATTTTTAATTATATCTCTCATACCACTAGACCAGTACAGAGTTAAATTAATTGTGAGAGATATAACTTTGGTGTTTTTTCATCCCAGTAAAATATTTCAACTTATATTTTAGGTGAAAAAAAATTATGAAGCTCTCAAACAGAGACAAGATGAAGAAAGGATGGTACAGAGCTCTCCTCCAGGATCTGGTGTGGATAACAAATGGGAGCGAGAAAGTCAGGAAACTACCAGAGAGCTTCTGAAAGTTAAAGACAGGTTAATTGAAGTAGAAAGAAATGTAAGTATTTTAAAAATATTAGTAGAAAAAATGTTTACACATAAAGGATTGTGGGATATATAATTTATCTAATCTGGTTTTTAAATTTTAATTTGTATTTTGTTGACTGATTTATAATATTTAATATTAAAAAGACTAAAGAAAAAAGACTGAAGAGCTAATAACTTAGTATACTTTTCTCCATCACTGTCATGTAAGTATATCAGCAAGCTCTGACAACTCTCATCCTGAAAATAGAACTCAAACCTCTATCTACTTATACCTTTACTGCTACCACTCTAGTCTGAAGTACTGTCTTTCACCTGGACTCCTAATGTTTTGCTAACTCACCTCCCTCCTTCTATTTTTGGCCCACTCTAACCCAGTCTAGGGAGCTCTGGTAGCGTAGTGGCTAAAGCACTTGACTGCTAACCAGAAGGCTGGCGGTTCAAACCCACCAGCCACTCCTCAGAAGGAAGGTTGGGCAATCCTACTTCCTTAGTGATACTGCCTCGGAAACCCAAGGAGGGGTCACTATGAGTCGGGGCCGACTCGACGGCACACAACCACCACCAGTCTTAATGCAGTAGCCATATCGTGTCATTTCTCTACTTAAAATTTTCATTGACTTTCCATATGAATTAAAATAAAGTCCACCTTCATTCCCACGTCCTGTAAGATCCTTCCTGATGTTGCCCTGCCTATATCTGACCTTTTACCCTACCACTTCTCCAATAGTCCCTTCTTTTATCTGGGGCTAATAATCTGGAAAATGTTTAAAATAACACCTGGCACATAAGTAAGTTAATTCTATTATATTGGTCTTTTTTCTGTTTGCTTCCCCTGACTGGAACATATGTTTTGCTTCCTTCAGAGCAAAGTTTCCTATCAACTATCTCCTGCAAGAATTCTTCCCTGACCATTTTTCCTCAGTAAAGTTGTTGTTGTTAGGTGCCATTGAGTCATCTCCAACTCAGAACTACCCTATGCACAACAGAACGAAGCATTGCCCAGTCCTGTGCCAATCTTATGATCCTTGCCATACCTGAGCCCATCGTTACAGCCACTGTGTCAATTCATCTTGTTGAGCGCCTTCCCCTTCTGCATTGACTCTCCGCTTTACCAAGCATGATATCCTTCTCCAAGGAATGGTTCCTCTTGACAACGTGACCAAAGTAGGTGAGACGAAGTGTGGCCATTCTTGCTTCCAAGGAGCATTCGGCTGCACTTCTTCCAGGACAGATTTGTTAGTCATTTTAGCAGATGATGGTACGCTTAGCATTCTTCTCCAACACCACAGCTCAAAAGCATTAGCTCTTCTTTGGTCTTCCTTATTCATTGTCCAGCTCTCACATGCGTAAGAGGCTATTGAAAATACCATGGCTTGGGTTAGGCACTCCTTAGTCTTCAAGGAAACATCTTTGCTCTTCATCACTTGAAAGAGGTCTTTTGCAGCAGATTTGCCCAATGGAATACATCATCTGAAGTCTTGACTGCTGCTTCCATTGGTGTTGATTGTAGAACCAAGTAATATGAAATCCTTGACAACTTCAACTTTTCTCCATCCACCGTAAAGCTATTTATTGGACAGTTGTGAGGATTTTTGTTTTCTTTATATTGAGGTGTAATCCATACTGCAGACTATAGTCTTTAACCTTCACCAGTACATGCTCTTTCAGCAAGCAAAGTTCTGTCATCTGCGTATTGCAGGTTGTTAATGAGTCTTCCTCCAATTCTGATGCCACGTTCTTCTTCATATAGTCCAGCTTCTCGGATAATTTGCTCAACCTACAGGTTGAATAGCTCTGGTAGCATAGTGCCTAAGGCACTTGACTGCTCACCAGAAGGCTGGCGGTTCAAACCCACCAGCCACTCCTCAGAAGGAAGGTTGGGCAATCCTACTTCCGTAGTGACACTGCCTGCGAAACCCAAGGAGGGGTCGCTATGAGTCGGGGCCGACTCGATGGCAAACAACAACAAAACAGGTTGAAAAAGTATGGTGAAAGGATACAACCTTGACACACTCCCTTCTTGATTTTGAAGTATCCCCTTCTTCTGTTCAAATGACACCCTCTTGATCTATGTACAGGTTCTTTATGAGTATAATCAAGTGTTCCAGAATTTCCATTCTTCTCAACATTATCCATGTTAAGATTTACATAAAGCCTTGAGTTGCAATACTGAAAGATTCTATGGGAAAAATATTGAATGATGCGGGAAGCATCAAAAAAAGATGGGAAAAAATACACAGAGTCACTGTACCAAAAAGAAGTGGTCTACATTCATCCATTTCAGGAGGTGGCATATGATCAAGAACCAATGGTATTGAAGGAAGAAGTCAAGGCTTCTTTGATCTACACAACCAAATGCTTTTGCATACTCAATAAAACATAAGTAAACATCTTTCTGTATTCTTTGCCTTCAGCTAAGATCCATCTGACATCAGCAGTGATATCCCTTATTCCACGTCCTCTTCTGAATCCAGCTTCAATTTCTGGAAGCTTTCTGTCAATATACTGCTGCAGTCATTTTTGAATTGTCTTCAGCAAGACATTACTTGCATGTGATATTAATGATACTGTTCGATAATTTCCACATCCTGTGGGATCAGCTAGCTCTCTTTGGAATGGGTACAGATATGGATCTTTTCCAGTCAGTTGGCCAGGTAGTTGTCTTCCAGATATCTTGGCATAACTGAGTGAGTGTCTCCAGTGGGGCATCCATTTTTTGAAACATCTCAGTGGGTATTCTGTAAGTTCCTGGAGTCTTGTTCTTTGTCACTTCCTTCAGTGCAGCCTTGACTTCTTCCTTCAATGCCATTGGTTCTTGATCATATGCCACCTCCTGAAATGGATGAACGTAGACCACTTCTTTTTGGTACAGTGACTCTGTGTATTTTTTTCCATCTTTTTTTGATGCTTCCTGCATCATTCAATATTTTTCCCATAGAATCTTTCAGTATTGCAACTCAAGGCTTAAATTTTTTCTACAGTTCTTTCAGCTTGAGAAATGCTGACAGTGTTCTTCCCTTTTGGTTTTGTAACTCCAAGTTAGTAATTTCATTATAGTAATTGGCTTTGTCTTCTTGAGCTGCTCTTTGAAATCTTCTGTTGAGCTCTTTTATCTTGTCATTTCTTCCATTTGCTTTAGCTACTCTTTGCTCAAGGGCAAGTTTCAGAGTCTTTCCTGACATCCAATTTGGGTTTTCCTCTTTTCTCATCTTTTTTAATGACCTCTTCCTTTCTTCATGCATGATGTTCTTGATGTCATCCCACAATTCCTCTGGTTTTCTGTCACTGGTATTCAGTGCATCAAATCTATTCTTTAAATGGTCTCTAAATTCAGGGGGGATATTATCAAGGTCATATTTTGGCTCTTGTGGACTTGTTTTAATTGTCTTCAACTTCAACTTGATCATGCATATGAGCAGTTGATAGTTTCTTCCACAGTCAGATCCTGGCCTTGTTTTGGCCAAAGAATTGAACTTCTCCATCATCTCTTGCCACGGATGTAGTCAGTCTGATTCCTGTTTATTCCAGCTGGTGAAGTCCACATGTATAGTTGTCACTTTTGTTGTTGAAAAAAGGTATTTTCAATGAATAAGTCATTGGTCTTGCAAAATTCTGTCATGCGATCTCCAGCATTATTTCTATCACCAAGGCCATATCTTTCAACTACCGATAACTCGTCTTTGTTTCCAACTTTTGCATTCCAGTGACCATTGATAATCAACACATCTTGATTGCATGTTCAGTCAATTTCAGACTGCAGAAGTTGGTAGAAATTTTCAGTTTCCTCAATTTTGGCTTTGGTGGTTGGTGTGTAAATTTGAATAGTAGTAGTATTAACTGATCTTCCTTGTAGGCGTATGGCTATTATCCTATCACTGACAGCATTGTACTTTAGGACAGATCTTGAAACATCCTTTGTGATGATGAATGTCACACCATTCCTCTTCAGTTTTGTCATTCTCGGCATAGTAGATTATATAGTTGTCTGATTCAAAATGGCAAAAAACAGTCCATTTCAGCCAATAATGTCTAGGATATCGATCTTCATGCATTCCATATCATTTTCAACAACTTCCAGTTTTCCTAGATTCATACTTCATACATTCCGTCTTCTCATTATTATTGGATATTTGCATCTGCTCTTACTCATTTTGAGTCATGCCACATTGGCCAGTGGAGGTCTTGAAAGCTTCACTCTATCCATATCATTAAGATTGTCTCTACTCTGAGGAGTCAGCTCTTCCCCAGTCAAATTTTGAGTGCCTTCCAACCTAATGGGCTCATCTTCTGGCACTATATCCGATAGTGTTTCAGGGCGATTCGTAAAGTTTTCCAGTAATATCTCAGACAGTGTTTCACTGCTATTCATAAGGTTTTCACTGGCCAATTGTTTGAGAAGTGGAAGGCTTCTTTCTTCTTCCTAGTCTATCTTAGCCTGGAAGCTCCACTGAAACCTGTCCCCATAGGTAACCCTGCTGGCTTTTTGCAACATGGTGTCAAAGCCTCCAGCCTCACAGCAATATTTAAGCTACCACTGGACAACAAGCTGACAGACAAGTTCGTCTGCCTTGTTGTTCCTAACCCCTCTGTACCTTGGGCCCCAGCCTTAAAATACAGCTGACCTCATACAAAAAGCAGCCTCCAAGGGAATAGTATGGAACAAAACTCAAAATCATTTGAAAAAAAAAAAGAGGTGGGGGGGACCAGTTTTGCTGGCCTGATAGAGCCTGATGGAACCACTAAGACTTTGGCCTCTAGCTGCCCTTCAGGTCTGGAATTGAATCTACCCCTGCAGCTTCCAGCCAAACAAAAGACAGGCATATGATGAGGTGAATATTTACCCTAGGTAGATACCCTTCCTGGAGAGAACAATTATAGGAGAATAGGAGGGTTGTATATGCACAGGGAGACAGCTCAGGGTGTAGGAGTGCATGGAGGGACACAGGGAAGAGAGAACTATGGGGAGGAAGTGGGAGGGGAGCTGTTGCATTGTGGTAAATTGTAGTCAGTGTCATGAGACAAAGTGTGTGAACTGCTGTATGGAAAGTGAATTTGCTCTGTAAACTTTCACCCAAATCACAACTGAAAAAAAAAAAAAAGCAGCCCCTAATCCCCAGCCCCACCTGCCTTGGGCCTTGGCCTTAAAATACAGACACCCCCAAGTGAAAAAGCAGCCTCCAGCCCTAGTAAAGTAGCTATCCTCAATCTAAACTATTCAGTATCACATTGCCATATTTAGCTACCTCATAGCGTTTATCACTAAATTACGTATTTTTATTCATTTGTTTATTATTTACCTACTGACAGCACCATGTATGCATGTAGCTTGTCTGTCTTTTTCACACTGTTCCTCTGGTATCTAGACTCACTCTTGGTAAATAGTAGGCACTTGAATAATTGCTAAGTGAGTAAGTATTTGACAGTAAGCAGTACGCAAATTAATTCCACAAACATCTTTCAAAGATGAATGAGTTTTAAGAACTTACATGCAAAATGCAAATAAGTAAAATAATTGTGGTTGTTCCTACTTTTTAACATAAAAAGTAATATAGATACTTCATTAAAAACTTAATTAAAAACAAAAAAAGTTATAAAACCAAATCTTAATCTCCCATACCATTGATTCTTACTTCCTCACCCAAAATAACCACTGTTAGCAATTTCATGTGTGTCTTCCCTGAAAAATTTCTTTAATATTTATACCTGTGGAATCATTTGTGCAATATTCTTATTGTATTTTTCAATTATATTATCTTGGAGGCTTCCAATTTAACAAATACAGATATATCTTACTTTGTTCAGTGATTGCATATTATTCCATAGTGTGGACATTTTTTAAAAATTTATTACACTTATAAATGTGCATGTAAGGTAGTAAATTCCTTACATTGGAATTCCTGGGCTAAAGAATATATGTATAATATTCATATGTATATATGCATGTGTGTGTTTAACTTCAATTGATTTTATCACATTATCCTTTAAAATTCATATACATATGCTTCTCTTCCAAATATTTTCATTTGTAAAACACTTAGTTTTGTTGCTGACCCATGGAGCCACCATATTTATTTATATTTCAGTTTGGACAAATTAGAAAAAGGCATCCTGACCCCCCCACACCCACTCCCAGGTTGTATACAACCTCCACTCATCCTGGGCACTCTGGCCCTTTTGTGTAGTTTAAAAACTCCATTCTAGTTTCTTGTATCAATAAATATATTTAGAAAGAAATATTTTTTTCAGATATTATAAAGCACACAGGCACAATAGTATATTAAGATTTTAATGTTACTTTCTTTTTCATGGGTTAAATATGTTTTCATTTGGGGATAGAGGATAATGTTTTGCTTTTTCTCTTTTATGATTGTTGAGGTTTTTAGATTGTAATGGTAATAAATGGGAGCTCTGGTGGCATAGTGCCTAAGGCACCTGACTGCTAACCAGAAGGCTGGCAGTTCGATCCCATCAGCCACTCCTTGGAAGGAAGGTTGTGCAATCTACTTCATAGTGATACTCCCTTGGAAATGGTAATAAATGCTCATTGTATAAAATTCAAGTATCTGTAATAGAAATATTTTAATGTTACTTTTATCTTTAATGTGTGTTTTCTTTGTTAAGAATGCCACACTGCAAGCAGAGAAGCAAGCATTGAAAACTCAACTGAAGCAACTTGAGACCCAGAACAATAATTTGCAGGCTCAGATTCTTGCACTTCAGAGACAGACGGTATCATTACAGGAGCAGAATACCACTCTTCAGACACAGAATGCCAAGCTTCAGGTCGTAATATAATATTTTGGGGATATGCTTTTAAAGTAGGGAGGCTAGACATAAGAACATTCTTTCTTAGTGAATTTACTAATTAATTGAAGCTAAATGAAAATATTTTTACTTAGTGCCTTGCCATATTTTCAAATAGTAGCACTGTTTAAATACCAGAACCTCTAAATATTAGTTATAAGTTCATTCAACACATAGAAATAAAATAAAGATAATTTTACTTGTATTTACTTTATAAGCTTTCCCTCATTTAAATAAATTGATTATAATTAATCAGAAAATCTTGAATAGTTGTAACATACCATTCCTTATTTAATTTTTACAGATTTCTTATCAGATTAGTTAATGGAAAATAACAGAACATAGAAATGATATCTTTTGACTCGTCCTTAGTTCAAAAGATCCATTTTAGGATAATCAGGTGGAAAAAAGTACAGCTCTCTGAAACCTCTTAAAGGGCAAAAAAAGTTCCCTCTTTGAATCTAACATTCTTTCTGTAACCCTTTCCAAGTGGTAAAGTAAATACTAAATGAATTTAGACTCTTGAGAAAAATTCAAATTGAGTTTTCATGAGTAATTGTTCAGTTCTGTCAACTACTAAATTCTAGAAAATGATAACCGAGCATTTCCAGTTCTGTACTTTCACATATATGGAATTCAAACCTAAGTACACACACACACACACACACACATATTATTTCAAAGTACAAATAAAAAATTAAGTGATAGGCTTTATCTTTGGGAAGCTAAAATTTAAAATTTTCCAGTATAATAGAACATACCTACTATGACTTACTTTTGGCTTCTTAAAGTTAACATTGTAATCTTTTATTTTTAAAAAATGACAACATGTCTTATGACAGTTACACTTTTGTAGGTTGAAAATTCTACCCTTAATTCTCAAAGTACCTCACTCATGAACCAGAATGCACAACTCCTAATCCAGCAGTCTTCCTTAGAAAATGAAAATGAATCTGTAATCAAAGAAAGAGAAGACCTGAAATCTCTCTACGATTCTCTGGTCAAAGATCATGAAAAGCTGGAACTTCTTCATGAACGACAGGCTTCAGAGTATGAATCTCTCATTGCTAAACATGGAACACTAAAGTTTGCCCACAAAAATCTTGAGGTGGAACATAAAGATCTTGAAGATCGGTAATTTATCATGTTTTCTCATATTATAAATTTAAAACCATTTTTCTTCAAAGAGTGCAATGAATTTTAAGGGTTACAAAGTTCTAAGATATAATTTATATAGAAAATTTTATTTAAATTTACTTGTGTTTATTGTGATTTATTAAATTACTTGTTTCCTTCATTTCTAAATTTTTTTTTCCCAGTTACAATCAGTTATTAAAACAGAAAGGACAATTGGAAGATTTGGAAAAAATGCTCAAAGTAGAACAGGAAAAAATGCTGCTTGAAAACAAAAACCATGAGACTGTAGCTGCAGAATACAAAAAACTTTGTGGTGAAAATGATAGGTAATAAATAAATATTTATATGTTTTAGATCTGTATTATCCTTTTCATCTGAGGTGTATATACTGCCTCTTTATAGTACCAATCAAAATTTGAACTCAAAATTTTAAAAACTAGAATATACTGTTTGTATAGTTTTATAGGTTTTTACATGTGTTTTTGTGATATATTAAATTACATGTTTCCTTCATTTATAAAATATTTTTTCCTGAGGAAATATTATAGACCAAATACCTTGTCTTTTTCCCCAATTACAATCAATTATTAAAACAGAAATGACAGGGGAAAAAAACAACCAAAGTAATAAGTAACTTTTCCAACAGAATCACACAGTTCCTTATGGAATGCTCAGACAAGAACCTTGTATCTCTGTTTTTCCTTAATACTTTGTTTTATTCAATCAAGTTTTTAAGTTTACAATAAAATTTCTTTACCTTAATAGCATTTCTGTGCTCTATTGAGAGAAAATTTAATGAGGCCTTTTTTGTATCTTTCTTTTTACTAGTCTGGTATCCCAACTCTTGTCTTTCGAAATTGCTACAAATGAGCAGCTGTATAATTTCCTAGATGATTGATTTGTACCTATTTTTAACTATCTTATGTGATAATGGTCTCATATTGCCATAAGGCAATTATTTTTGATTAAAAGACTTGGGAAAGCAAAACTTCTCAACTAGGTATTGATTAACCTGCTTTATAAAGGTACATTTTCAGAAGCTATAAAGATATATATTCAGAAACTTTTTTGAAAAGTTTTTGGACACCTTAAACGTTTGCACACTTATATTGCATGCCTGTACACTTAAGTTACCATGACTAAAGTGCAGAAGGCAGCACACAAAATTCAAATGGAGTTTTCTTATTTGTCCAATTATTAATTTAATGTGGTCTATTTTTAGAATTAAACTTGTTTCTTCTTTTTAAAAAAATACATAAGCTTCCAGAGCCATCTCATTTTCACATGCAGTAGTTTTGAAATGGGTTTACCCTAGTTGTTAAAAATAGAACTTCTCTAGTCGGGAATTTGAACTGCAACAGATTTAATTCCAGCCTCCACAATCAAGGCTATATGGTTAGCAGATAATATTTCTACATACGTATTTGTATATGCTGTAAGAATGGCCTTATAACTAGAACTAATAGGGGGCAAAGTTATGAGTCAGCCACCCTGATGGAGCGAGTTGTTGGACCTGTGGGCTCAGGACCATGGTTGCAGGGGACATCAACCTCAATTGGCATAACATACCATGCAAAAACATTATTCTACATCCTACTTTGGTAATGACTGCTGTCTTACAAGCTTGCAAGCAGCCATCTGCATGCAACAGATGGGTCTCTCTTCATCCAGAGCAAAGAAGATTAAAAAAGAAACAAAGACACATGGAAACAATTTGACCAAGGGACTAGTGGACCATATGAACCTCAGCCTATATGACCATGAGACTAGAAGAACTAGATGGTGCCTGGCTATCACCATCAACCACTCAGGAAGGAATCAGCGCAGAAAATCCTGGATAGATTTGGAGAATATTGTGGAACAAAACTCAAAATCATTGAAAAAAAAAAACAAAAAACAGAGTTACTAGCTTGATAAAGCCTGGTGAGACCACCAAGACTTTGGCCCCTAGTTACCATTCAGGTCTGGAATTGAACTCACTCCTATGGTGTCCACCAAATAATAGATAGGCATATGGGGTGAACATTTACATCAGGTAGATAGACTCCTGAGAACGATCAATTGTGGGAGAACAGAAGGGCAGTATTTGCACAGGGAGATAGCTCAGGGAGCAGGAATGCATAGGAAAGGAAGACACAGGGAAGAGGTAACTAGAAGAAGGAAGTGGGAAGAAAGCTATTAAGTTGTGGGGAATTGCAGTCAATTTCATGGAACAAAATGTATATGAACTGCTGTATGGAAAGGAATTTGCTTTGTA